CGTTAGCCAGCACACTGATATACAGGAATAGAGGGCGCCTAGCACATACTGGATTATTCGTGATGTTCCCCGATCCTTCTAGAATATCATGACGTGTTACCAGCGTCACGTGACTACCGCTGTCGTAACAATACCATTCAATAACTATCTCGTGACTCTATCTCTTAATGAAGTTTTTGGTAAGGTATTTATTCACAGAGTAGGTCACGAGAGTACAACTTCATGTGCTTATAAATTTACATACTCTTCTGCTACAATAATAGTATTTGTACGTCAACGCTTGGGAAGCTGGTGTCAGTTTCATTATACACACATATATATTTACTAAAAATATAAATGATTATGCAAAAGGTGAGGTAATATTTTAACGCAACTAAAAATTCATAGATAAAAACGATAAAAGAAAGTAATTACTGAACGATAAACACAATCATAGTCATAAAAAATAGGATTTGCTATCTCACAGAAATTTCACTTGCAAATGCATAAGCACACACTTCTCTGATTTTAATTTCAAGCCTGCCTTTCTTATTTACTGAAGAACGATGCCCAGGTTTTCAGCAGTAGACTGAAATGTGCAGTTAAATTGCAAAATCTCATCTACATGCATTAGGAATGCATTGTAGCCCTCTTAATGTAAGCTCCAACAATACTCAAAAAGTGCATATGCATCACACAGGTAAAACTGTGTGATACAGAATTCATACAGATCATTTTTATTCTCAATGCAGTTTTAGGCCCGCTTTCATTATTCAGATAGATTTGCCAGTATCCAGAAGCTAGGTCTAATGTGTGGGACCAACAGGCACCTTTTAGTGCACCCAGAAGTTCGTCTGTCTGCAGGAATGAAAAAAATGAGAGTGAATCATCCCATTCTTTCATCTAAAATCAATACAAAACTTTGGCATGCCACCCATCTTTCCGACAATCAATACTGGTGGTGATCAAGTACTTTCTGAAGACTGTATGATTCCATCCTTCAATATCTATATGTTTTTAAGCAATTGCTATACTTCAGGGAAGCATGTGTGGCAGTTGTGTTATTGGAAACATATCACACGTATCTCTGTGGTGGAGAGTTACTGACCCAAGTGCCCATCTGGTTCCACAAAAACATTAGTATAGTCTGATAGAATTTCACTAAGTACCTGTCATTTGTTGAATCTACAACCATCAGTCAATGACGTCAGAATTTCTGTCAGCCACGTATTTGCTTTCGAATATAGTGCAAGGGATGCAACCTTTACTATATAGCTAGTTCTAGCTACTTTAGCTTCACCGTTTCAATGGGAAAATGAAGAGCTGGATTTTCATAATTACAGAGGAACATTAGGACAGTGAGACAGCCTACTTTCTTGGACAACACTACACCACTACAGACCATAATGATGCACTAGCCTGTTTCTAGCTCTCCATGGAATGCCATTTATACATTTAGAGCTATTGCACACTCTCTCCTCGACATGCATTCATGCAGTTCACTGTTCTTGGGCCAAACTAGCTACCAGGAATGGATGGGTATTTCTATGACAATGCAGTTCACTTGATGCACAAGCAAAACTAATTAACAGTTTATGCAGTAGGCTCATCCTCAAGATCTCAGTACCTGAACCAATATAGGAGACAACTACATTTGTCTTGCAGATGAAAGTGCATAAACATACTGGAGATGTGCCTTTCCGATCTCATAACTGGCCAGAGTAATAGCTTCTCATGGATAATCTGATACACGAAAATCGAGAGTTCTGTTGG